TATGATAATCTGCTCCTTAGCCAATCAACAGAGGCGGCGCGAAGAGATCAAAACAGGGGGGGGGGGGTACCCAAAAATCGGAGAAAGTAGCCTAAAATTTGTCCGATTATATTTTTCCAAAATCGGAGAAAACTTTTTAATAATCTCTTTAAATTAGGAGAAAATCTGAGCCAGAATTCTCAAAGTAGGGGGTATCCTTCCCGCTCGCGTTATCTCTGTCAATCATGTGCGGTATTGTTCATGACATTTTCATGTTAAAAAGTTTATTTGCACTATGAATCAAATACTTTTTCTTTTTTGTTAATTTTTATCTGCAAAGTAGTTCTTATGAAAAATGCAAAAATCTCAACATTTTATATACTTGAATTCTTAAAAACATTAATATCACTTTAGCTAAGAGAAAAAAAGAAATATATAAGATTTTTGTTTAAATCTATTATATGTAAAAGTAGAAGAATTGAATATGTTTTATTTTCTTACAATAAAATTAATCGAATAATTTTATCTTACTTTTTTTTCAAAATAGAGAACATTTTGTTTCTTTTACTTAAAAGAAAATATTTCAAATAATGAAGCTATCTCGACAATACTATATATATTATATCTTTTAAGAATTTCTTGAAAGATCACTTAAATCTAGTTCAATGAGGTACAAAAGGTTCGAGCACACACTACGGAAATACAAAGTATATTACTCTATTCTTTATTCTTGATGAGTTTTCTAGGACATTTATTACTAATCTTTTTTTTTTTTTGTTCTACATTAAATAACTAATTAGAAGTTGTTGATGATCTTATACGTATAAGTATTATAAAGAAGATACAATCATTTTCAATAGAATGTCATTTATAATGATAAATCTAGTAAAAACTATGAAATATTTTGAACTCTATGAATTGAGAATTATCTTTTATTCTTTTCTAAAAAAAATAATGACAACATCATAATCATTCTGCACAAAAAAAAAACAAATGTGCTCATAGTCATTTGAAAGAAATTTTTTTTTTGTAATAATTCAATAGCATTTCCAAAAGAAAAAAACCAGTATCTAATATTCGAATATCATGTGTCTCATTAATGTTTTTTTTATTAAAATTTTTTTTTTCTTTGCACTTAGTTACTTGAATTATAGAGAAAAAAAAAATGTTTTTGTTTAATACACTGTTTACTTTCTGCACTTGAAGTTCAAGACATTTGAATATGAATACTCGTAAGATAAGTTCATTATTTTGATTATAGGACTTAAACTCTATGACATAATATGAAATGAATATTGAGTGCATGACTTGAAGAAAAATTCTGTTAACCTTTACAAATAAAAGAGAAGAATAAAATGTGTGTAATACAATATTTCATGTAAGTTTATGAAATATATTGATTGTTAAGGATGGTATAACGGATCAAGCTGAAATTTTATATCAGATATGTATTCGAGGAAAAAAAATTTTTGCAGTTTTATCCAGGAAACTGTGATTTTTGAAGGATTACTTACGATCTATTGTCTGTTTGAAAAAAAAAAGGTCGTGGCTATTGTTGCAATAACTCAAGAAAGAAAAGAGCTAGAGAACTGCGATTTTCACTAGTCGAAAGAGATGATACTAGAATATATTTTTTCGTCAATATTGTATAAGATGAAAGCATTTTAAACTCAAATTTTTTTTTTTTAAATATCGAAAAAAGATATAAAAATTTTCTGTCGTTTAGATGAAATTTTAACAATAAGTAAGAAAATTTGCTTAAACTATAGATCTGAGGTTCTTCTATCCAAATCACATATCAAAACCAAAATTTCATTAGAATGATAGACCATTTTTATGAATTTTTTGTAATGTTTTGCAGAAATGATTGATATTAAAATAATTTCTTCTTATACAAAATTAAAGAAAAATATGTCCTAGTATTGTCTCTTTTGATTGGTGAAAATCGCAGTTTTCTATCTCTTTCCTTTTATGAGTTATTGAAAAAAGGAGCCATGACCATTATCTTTTTTAACAGACAATACATCTAGTTCTATTCAGTCGACCTGAAATGTTGACTAAACATACTTGAAAGTATGTTTCGGAGATAAAATTAATCGTTTTCCTTTTTCACTTTATTGTTCGAATACATAGAATCCTCAAAACGAAGAACCTGGTTTCGGCGTCGAATTTTTGTCTCATAGAAAGTGAAATTTTTCGAAAAGCTTTAAAATTACTTCTACAATATAGTCTTAGGTATCTTTAAAAAAAAAAAAATTTTTCAACCCAATCGAATAAAATTAGATGGAAGTCGTAATGTTCCAGGAGTTGAACCTATCAAAACTAGAGTTTCTCAGCTAAAATTCACTTAAGTATTGATGCGTATGTATAGTATAAAAGAATGAAAAACAAAAAAACTTGCACATAACTACATAAATATTGTGCTTAGGGAACTGCAAAGTGGTCCCGGTCCCGGTCCCGGTCCCGGTCCCGCCGGGACCGGGACCGGGACCGGGACCAAATTTTGACTTTTTTGCGGGACCGGGACCGGGACCGGGACCGGGACTAAAAATTTTGCATACTGGTCCCGGTCAGTTTTTTATGCAATGTGTCGCCATTTATTTTATTTTTTTGACAATAGTAATGGCGACTCAGTATAAATAATCAATGCGATAATAAATCCCTTAGCTAGAGCAGTAGATATAAGAGAAGAGAGAAATGAGTAGATGACTACTACGAAGAACATGAGAGTTTTTAACAAAATTCAATGGTTATTTTTATTTATTCGAGTTTTCAATGAAATTCTTTCTCTTTAACACTGGATATAAAAACAATTCTCGTAATGTTAACGAATCAAAATTATTCATGTCAATTTAATGTATTCATAAAAGTACATAGATCGTTAAAAAATTGTTCGATTTTAGGAATGAAGCCAATGTCAAAGGCCGGGACCGGGACCGGGACTGGAAAAAAATTTGACCGGGACCGGGACCGGGACCGGGACTAAAAAAAAATATATGACCGGGACCGGGACCGGGACCGGGACTAAAAAAAGTGATTTTGCAGTTCCCTAATTGTGCTTCGCATTGCATTAAAAGTACACGAAAAAAAAATGCTACATTATTTCATGGTTGTGAGCATCCTATAAGAAAATTAAACAAACAAATTATCATTTAAATAAAAAATATTAAATAGAGCGAAAGACTGCACAAAGCAATCGTGCAAAACGATGATATAAACTCATATTAATTGTAATCTACCCAGTGAAAAATATTTGCTTCAAAGAACGCGTTCCATAAAATTAAAAGCCCTTTTTTTTAAGAAAAGAACACGTTCCAACAAAAGTGGAAAGCATTCCAAAATAGAACCATTAAGAACACATTCCATGGTTTTTTTTAAATGTGTTCTTAACTGTTCCAGATTTTTTTGGAACGCATTCTTGGTCGTTATTGCTTGAATTTAGATTCACTATAAGAGTTCTTGAAGAGAAGTTCAGACATAATTTTTTGAAAGATCGATTCTGATGCAACTCGACGAGCTCTATCCAATGGCGTGCTCTAATTTTTTGTAGCTCAAACTGTTATTTAGAAAAAAAAATTTTTTTGGAATCAGGACTGCCAGTTGTAAAGTATGATTAATTGAAGATTCCACCAGTTTCAGAGTGTCGTACTTCAGAGCTGTCATTTTTGAATCAAAAGTGACGTTAAATTCATTCATCAGTCAAAGGAATCCATTCTCAGGTGTTTCTCAAGAGAATGTTTAAAAAAAGCGGTCTCATTTCGATGGAATCTTATCTTGACTGTTTCGAAATAGAATGCGCAGAGACACGTTCTATTGTAGCATAAGAAATTTTTTAATATCTTTTTATGACAACGATTAATATGCATCGTAACTCTTTAAAATAATCTAATGAATGATAAATCATCATCTAATTTTTTTTTTGTCCTACATGTGTTCTTCTATTTTGTTTATATACATAAGAAACAGAGATCGTCACAGGACAGGGCAAAAAAACATTGCCCTGTGCTCTGATAAAAAATTTTTGAAAAATCTAATTCTAATCGATTTTTTTATTCTTTTGAACTACTTAGTAAAAGCTAAAGCTTATGTTCTCATAGAAGAAAAAGCTTCTTTATTATTTATATTTATCCTTTATTATAAAGAAAGATAAAAATAAAGTAACATCCTTAAGTGAGACAAAATTAATTTGTCAGTATTTTGATTTACACCAGTTAGCACTAATCCCTATCGCACTTCGAAGTATGGCGTGTGTCAAAGTTTGATCTAGTGTTACACTTATCATTATAGAAGGATGATGAATTCACAAAGAAACTGAAGTTTTCAAATTAAAAATTCAGAAAATTGCGTTTCACACGCATCACGATTAAAGTTGAATAATCTCATTAAAATAGAAACACTTTAATCAAGTTTCAAATATGAAAAAATTCATTAAAATTAGATTTATTTTGAAGTTTTAACACGGATATTGTTCTCTACTAGAGTCCTGCATCGGGTCGGGTTTTCAAACCCGACATATCCACTGTTGGCTGTAGCGACTTCAAAGACCATCAGCTCTGCTTGTTTCGATATGGGTGTCTGTCACACACATTCGACCAGGCATCGTTGTTAATTGTTATATTCACTATGAATAACGGTGAATGTATCGGGTTTGAAAACCCGGCCCGATGCAGGACTCTATTCTTTAGTATACGATTTTTTTCACTGTCAACTGGGTTTTATTTTGACACTTTTTTGAACCTACATGAATAAAATTTTAATATCAAACTTGAAAGCAGTCACATAACTTTTATCAATTTTTGAGATCTTGTAATAAGGAAACCCAATTTAGTAGTCCTGTGGGCAGGGCAGGGCGAAAAAAAATCATGACTAATCTTCAGGGCAGGGCAGGGCGTGAAAAAAGCGCCCTGTGACGGTCTCTGATAAGAAAGTAATAGATCTTGATCAGAAAAAGTTGTTGTCTTTTATTGAATGAATAAGAAAAAGACAAAAAAAACTAATGTTTTTATTTACAGATGAACATTTTAATCAAGATAAAGATCAAAATCAATACGTTTTATTGAATAGAATTGTTCAGTACCAATACGACGACATAATACTTTATTTTTATCTAATTTTCCTTCCATATTTGTTAAACGAATCATTTGTTCAGTTGTAAATGGACCTTGAAGATTTTCTATTGAATCTACATCTGTTTTATATTCCCAAAGAACTTTTGATGAACCTTAACAAAAAAAAACAAAGATTAATTAATATAAAAATTCTTTTGTTTTTGTTTTTTTTTACGATCTGTGTCTGTTGATGATGTTGGTTTATTTACAGATGATGAAATATCACTATCACCATACATATCAAATGTTGAATTTGTTGTTGTTGTTGTTGAATTTGATGATGATTGAAGACGATCAAGTTTTGCTTTAAGACGTTCATAAGTTTCTTGATAGATATCAAGTTCACCATTGGATACAAATTGATTAGCAAGACCAGACATTTCTTCAAGTAAAAGTTTATTTTTTTTTAATTCTTCAGATGTTTGTTCAATATTTTTTGCTATTGGAATTTCTCCAGGAAGTGGTTTACGTTGTTTCCATTGTTGTTTTGGTTTATTACTAAATAAATAAATCTTATGAAAAATACTTTTCTCTTTTTTTTTTTAAGCAAATTATTCTTACTTAGATAAAATTGTTCCAAGACGTTTTATTGTACGAACAACAGTTTCACCTGGTTCCATAATTGTAAGCATTGATTGAATAGTATTTATTTCATTAAATTGATTTTTATCTGTTTCATCATCATCATCATCATCATCATTATTAGATAAATTACTTTGTTTTTGATCATCAAGATCTTCTCCTGTTGCATCAGGATTTTTTAATTTATAATTTTTAACATTTGTCCAATCAATTTCATCAAGCCATGCATCATGAACTTCATCTTTCTAAAAATACATACAAAAATTGTTACATTTCGAAATATTTTTATTATTAGATTTTCTAGAAAATTCATACATCAATCTTCTTTCTTTCGAACAAGGAAAGGTTACCAACTGATCAATTACTTTTGCTTTGAGACTAGATGCCAGAGATGTCCATGGCGGCGCTGCCGCTGCCGCCGTGGCGGTGGCGGCGCGGCAGCGGCAGGTTTCTTAAAAACTCATCGCGGCAGCGGCAGCATTTTTTTTTCGAGGACATTGAAAAACTGCATGAAGTTAATAGAATTTCATTGTTTACAAATGAAACACCCGGAGACTGAATGAATCTGATGGACTAGTACTAATATTTCTGGTCCAATACAGTTGCAGCAGTGAAAATCGAAACACTTTTTTGAAAACCATCGCGGCAGCGGCAAGTTTATTACTCATCGCGGCGCGGTGACCTTTTTTTTATAAACCATTGCGGCGCGGTAACTTTTTTTTTCTAATGCCGCGGCGCGGCAGCGGTAGAGTTTCAGCCGCGATGGACATCTCTGCTAGATGCATTATATAGGTACCAATGAGTAATGAATATCCTGAACAAAGTTCGGGTGACTAGTTTATTCTTACGAAGATGTTGCACTTTTATGGGTATGCTTTTAAATGAACGCCGTGATTTCTCTCAGGGACATCAGAGAAATTGATTTTTGCATTTCTTTACATAGAAAGAGACTTTACTAAGAATAGTATTTTGTAAAAATTTCAGATCCTTTTGCAGTTCCTATCCGTAGATACAACTATGATAACTTTATTTGGATAAATCAGAAGATTTGATATTCTAATTTCAGGAACGGAAGAAGTTAAAAACACCTAAACCGTTCATAAAATATTAATCTTGATAAGTCCTATTTCTATGTAAAGTTTCAAACTGAAATTCGAAAATCAATTTTTCTGGTGTTTCTGAGGGAGACCACAGCATTCAGTTAAAAACATACCATAAAAGTGCAGTATCTCCGTAGCAATAAGTTAGTCGCCCGAAATTTTTTCAAGATGTTCATTACTCATTGGTACCTACATAATGCACAGGCGATTTAACAGTTGACGACTTTCCCTCGTAAGTCTTCATTGGTCTTCTTTTATCTTCAATGAAATGCAGACGTCAAAAAGATCTTCAATTGAACATGGAAAATTGTACGAGTCTCTAATCTTTAAATCATCACTAGTGAATTAGTTCGTTTTCGCTGAATTCCAACTTCTCCGAAATAATTTTTCTAATGACCCTGAACCACACCCACACCCACCATCACAAGATACTGTATGCAAACCTCAATACCAACAGTATGACATGATCCCAGGGGCATAGTCAGAAATTTCCTAACGGGAATGGCCGCCAGCAGAAAAAAATTCTTGATCATATAAATAGTCTTTTAGCCCTGTACTTCCCTCCTGGCATTTGTTCTCCTAGGAGGTGTCCGGGCAGCCCTCTGCAAATCACTGAAAACTATTTGTCTTGTATCACTCATCCGAGAGAATGCTGACTATATTGTGGCATAGAGCTAGTACTAGTTCTAAAGAAGATATATATATACATACATCTTTTTTTTTCCATTGAAAACAACCTGTTTCATCATAATGTCCTTCTTCTAATTCTTCATCAATATTAAATGGTGTTATTTTAACATCATCATCAAAACCAATCGTAGCACCTTCTTGTCCAATTTCTGAAGAAGAAAAAAAAAAACAATATATATATGTTTTGTTTTTTTTTTTAGAATAAAAAAATTTCGTTATTAAAACAAACCATCAAGATCATTTTGATTCATTTGTTTAACATTTCCTTGTTCATCATCATCATCATCTTCATCACTATCTAATGTATATTTTCCACTATGTAAACGTGTATCATTTGTAGTATTTTTTTGTTTTTTATGTTCTTCAGGTATATCACGAAAAGTAACTTTACGTTTTTTTTTATCATCCATATTAAATCTAGAATTATATTTTAATCTTTTTATTTATTTTATACAAAAATATGTTTAATATTTTTTAAAATCAAATTTTTTTGCTTTCATAAAATAAATCTGTTTTTTTGTACTTCCTAAATTAACAATTTTTGAACAACTATCACGATCTTTTTCTATAATTGTACATTCTCAACAATAATATGCATCTGAACATCCTGAACCATCACATTTTTCACATAGACGACTTATTGCAACACCAGCTTTTAAAAAGAAATCTAAAAAATTATGTTCTAAATTTTTCTTTCATAAATTAACAAACAAATAATTGAATCGAATTAAAATTTATGAAAAACTAATAAATAAAGTATTAGTTTTAGATATAATCCGTTTAGTTCGTTTATAACCACACATAAATCATAAATGTTCATTATGGTAGTAACAGTGTTATGAATATTTCTGACGGAAATACGAAACAGTGAGTCATAAATATAGAATCTATTGAGACAACAACTCTATGAAAATTAGAGACTTATTCCATGGATTAGATTTAGCTTACACGTACGACAATATCATAAGTATTCACTCAATATGTTTTTACATACATGTTGGAGAAAAAAAATTTTCGTAGGTTTTCATAGGACTACGTTGTGTCTGCTTAAGAGCCTCGTCTATCTTTGAGACACTTCACACTATGTCTTTCAAGCTTTTTCAAAAGTGGTTTTTCATTTGTTTTTATAAAATATGCAATGATTTTAATGCAAAACCAAAGTACTGATGTTTAGAGCTTTATGAACCCTAATAAATTGTTCGAGAGTAAAAAAACGATTGATTTTTGCCACTAGAGAATACTTCCAAGCAGGCCACGTTTTTTAGGTCTGCCAGGTCTTTCGAACGAGTATAATAATGACGACAGACTAGAAACCAGAGGTACAAACAGAGCACTGGGACTATTGCTCAACTTGATCCTGATCTGCCTACCATAGGCATCATCTATGGTTTTCAGACTGGTGCAAGTCAGAGGTCCAGGCAATTTTTGGCTTGTCACTTGCACTAGTCTGAAAACCATAAGTGATGCCTATGGCAGGCGGATCAGGATCAGGTTGAGCAATAGTGCCAGTGCCCTGTTTGGACCTCTGGTTTCTAGTATCTGTAGTTGAAATTTCACATCAATTGGGTAAAGTTAAGATATCAAATGATGTTGATCTCTCTTTTTTAATTATTCCTCCTGCAAAAACAATTTGATGTAAATATTTTCTTCTCTACTTTATATTACTTGACAATTTTTGTTAACTTAACATTGCAATTCTCAAAATATACTGAATCGATAATTAGTTAATTAAAATTACATATCCTTAGTTCAAATAATAGAAGTATTTTGATCTAAATATAAACTTTAATTTATTAATACATACTACGTTGTAATATTGAGAATTAAAGTGTATATAGTAAATTTTGTTGTTTTCGAAATAAAGTAAAAAAAAAAAAAGAGAATTGAATTCTACTTGTTACATTAATAATTAGAAATATTATTCTGAAATATCTAAAATATTTTAATTGGTCGTTTAAATAACCAATGAAATTTTCTTTTATCATGAAAAAAATTTTTTTTTTTTTTTTTTGTCGAAAAAAATAAATAAAATTTTATTTTTATTTTAAATTTTTATTCAATAAAAAAATTTATTTATTAACCAATCATGAATTGATCATAGACCTTGGTGGTGTTAATTTTACTTTCGTGTGTAAAACATCGCCATTATTCTCTATTACTTCAAAATATGACGGATTTTACAAATACAACATCTCATACTCTCGAACAATTACGTCAAGCTGAAAATAAATTAACAACAATGCTTTGGCATGCTGGTAATATTGTACAACAATTAAGTTCTGAACAAGTTCCTCGTGAACAAATTGAATCTATAGCTCGAAGTTTTTCGGAAAATGCTCAAGCAGTTCAATTATTATTACATACAAGTGTAGCTAATTTAGAACGTATATCATCTGGTTTACCACATGAAGATTCATGTTATGGTGCATGGTTAGATTTTAATTTAGCTTCAATGAGAACAGAAACAATACGAAATAAATTATATGAATTAAAAAATAATTCTCAATTACAACGAAGTCGAGAACGTGTTAAAGAACTTGAAGGACAATTAGCTCAACTTTAATATTAAAAAAAAAAACAAAGAATCATTTCTTTTGAAATATTACATTATACATATCGACATGTTGTAAACATATAAATATAATACTCTTGATAATTTTTAGATTTTTTAAAAACTTTTTTTTTCTTTGACTTCTTTAAACGTACAACAATGCTTGAACATTTAATTCATGTTAATAGTTGGTTTCCTAAATACGAAGTTGAACTAGCTGAACAAACACATTATCATGTTTTTGTAATTTTTTTAATAATAATTCATCAAAATTTCTATTCAATTTTTTTTTTTAAATTTTACTAGAGTGAAAAACCAAATAATACAACATTATCTGTTCAACAAGTCAAACAAGAAAAAGTTGAACCACCATCAAAACAACAAGAACAGGTTCGAACCTTTTTTTTTGTTACTCGAATGATAAAAAAGACGCACTATAACACTTTGTTTTTAACTAACTAACCCTTCCCCATATATCCTCTTGCTTCTGTTATGTGAATCTATGATTTTTCAATTTGTTCGCACATATCATCTTTTCTTTTTTAACGCATGGAGTGTAAACTATATTTGTACATAATAAATTTCTCGTCAATCTTGCAGGCAAGTTTAAGTGAACACATTCGTGATGTTAGAAAAATGATTAACAAAACTGATACAACAACAATAATATCCAATGAAACAAATACAACTACTGAACAACGTCTAGCAAATATTGAAGAAACACATAAAAATATTTTACAAATACTTGATGATCTTAAACGACGTGTTGAACAACTTGAATTAAACAAACAAACGATTAGTGCGGTTAGATATCTATAGAAAACAAAAAATCATAGTTTTCTTTTTTTTTCTTCCTAGTAGAAAAGATATTTTTCTTTTTTTATCCTTCTATCTCGTTTGATTTATTGTTCAATAAGAATAGAATTTTTTGTTTATTTATTTTAGAAACCAGTTGAACCAAAACCTGTTGCTAGTACTAATGATGATGATGATGTTGATTTATTTGGTTCTGATGATGAAGAACAAAGTGCAGAAACAAAAAAACGTTTAGCTGATTATGCAGCAAAAAAATCAAAGAGTAAAAAAATTGCTTTATTAAAAATGTGAATTGTTTTGTTTTTTGGACTTTTCAAGAGGAACAAGTTATTGCTAAAAGTACAATTGTATTAGATGTTAAACCTTGGGATGATGAAACTGATCTTGCTGCTATGGAAAAATGTGTAAGATCAATTGAAGCTGATGGTCTTGTTTGGGGACAATGTTAGTAGAAAATTTGTATTTGAACTTTTTTTTTTATTTTATTATTTATAGCTAAACTTTTACCAGTTGCTTTTGGTGTTAAAAAATTACAAATTGGTTGTGTTGTTGAAGATGATAAAGTAAATTATTTTTTTAGTTTTTTTGAAATATTTTATTTGTATGTGTGTGTGTGTTTAGATTGGAACTGATTTTCTTGAAGAAAAAATTTGTGAATTTGAAGATTATGTTCAATCGATTGATGTTGTCGCATTCAACAAAATCTAAATGAATGATTCATTTTCTTTTTCTCACGTTATATCAACTGAGAATATAATATTCATTTGAAAGTTTTTTTTTTGAAAAAAAGAAAAATAATAAATATAACATCGATATTATTATCAAAGAATTTTATGTCTTGCAAAAAAATTTCGATAATCATATGGAATAATCAACGAAATAATATTTTATTATGATATATATGTGTGTTCAAATATGAGAGTAAGGTTTTTAATAGGAAAGAAAAGACTAATATAGAAAAACCTAATGTTCATTAGGGAAACGAGCTTGATAAGTTTCATTTGGAAATATTATTCTATCAGCGAATTAAAGTTTTTATAAAGCAACGCCTGTTGTGATAGGTATCAATTGAACAATTATTATTTAAGATGAACATAATCTATTTATGTAGACGATAGGAGTTTTTTTTTTATTGCACCTTGAATTCATAGTCAAAATTTCAGAACCTTATCAAACAAAGCATTTTTATGTCTAGTCATTTTTTTAGTATATTGAAAAAACAACTAATGAGGAAACGTTTTCAACTGTTAAATCCTTTTTGAGTTCAAACCGAGTGAGGTATGAAAAACATCAAGTGATTAAATCTCCTTAGGTCTTCTGTCCAGAGTTATAGGTATTTTACTGAAATTTTAGCCTAAAGCATGGTATGTACGAACAAACCGAATGACGGCGTTTGGATCTAAGATTTTCCCCACATACAGGTCTATTGATGATTAAAATATGCTAAAAATTTCAGCTTAAAAGAACATATCCTTCCCGAGATAATAAAGTCTCAAAAAACAGAAAATCCTAGCATTTGTTGTCCTATAGGAGTCATTTTTGGGATGCTAGTATCTCGGAAAGGATATGTTCTGTTGAGTTGAAACTTTCAGGATATTCTAATCATCAATAGACCTGTCTATGGGTCAGCGGCGTACGCAGGGGGGTCGAGGGGGCCTGGGCCCCCCCTTGAGACGAAAAAGTCCTGGAGGGGGGTACAGGAAAAAATATTTTCACGTGATAAAAAATTTTTTGTGCCATTGCCGGCCCCCCTACGAAGTTGGGCCCCCCCTTGAAAAATTTCTGCGTACGCCACTGCTATGGGTAAAATCTCAGACTGAAACATTGTTATTCAATTTGTTCATATATATCATGCCCTAGGCTAAAATTTCAGTAAAATACCTATAACTTTGTACAGAAGGCCTAAGAGAATTTAATCTCTTGAGGTTTTTCATACTTTCCTAGGGGCTATCTTATGCACAAAGTTTGAACTCAAAAGGAATTAGACAGTTGAAAACGTTCCTTCATTAGCTGATTTCAGTCAATAGTTTATATAAAATGAAT